TCGACACTCACTGCAAAAAAATCACAAAAACATCCTAAGCCAACCAAGAAAAAGGACTGAAGTGGCGTAGACACGTTCTTCGTCATCCACCACACTGTCCTCGGTTCGGTACCGTTCCCCAAATAGAGGCGCCAAGGAGGGGTTCGACTTAAAGGCCGATTCGACCCAGTATCATCAGGACATGGTAGTTGTTCGGTATTCGGCCTCCGTCGTTGGCGAAGAGCATGAATTAAGCTGTCCAGATCTGCTAATGCCGCGGATCGCCGCACGTAGATAGGTATAATTCGTGACATCGCAGAGACCGGTTAGATCAGGCATGATCGCAACCGTAACAATCACAATTGACTTGGCATGGCCTGCGAATAGTATCCTACAGTACTTAAATTCGAAGGTAAACGCCCCACCAGCAAGCCTCTTTAAGGCTGTATGTTTGTGCCTAATATTGAACGACAGATTAGTGCATCACCACGCCCTAAGATGGTACGCGACGGCTTTTTCCCGAGACTCAAGAGTCCGTTCGATAGAAGGGGAGTTTTTCCTCATTATACTTTGTTCACAATGCAATACATATGCGGTAAGGTTCCTAGAACGTCAAGGACTGTCACATACTACGTGCTTATGGATAATTGTGGCTGAATCTCCCTGCATTATTCACAAAGATCGATTGTGACAGTAAAAAGATGTGCTTGTGTCCCAGCGATATACCAAGCTTTGGTTGTATGACGATTTAGTCGCTGACGTTCTGCTCTGCGGTCGCGAATCCTGGTCACAACTCTCTCTGCTAATGCCAGCTGTGAGAAATCTCAATACCGGACGATTTGTCCATCCCTCCGCGACGTCATCTTGCAGACAGCCTCTCCAGATTACATTACCGCTAGGAGGCCCACATAAAAAAAGATTAGGTGGTGGGGGTTAAGTCAGACCTAACGAGAATGCTGCAGTCTCTGGTACTATTGACTGGAGGTGCATATCATCTACGAAGTGTCATGCAGCGGATGCGACGCAAGTTACTTCGGTCCAACAGGGAAACCTGTCTCTGCCCAGTTGGCGGTAGAGGTCCACCGTGAGCCGCATGGTATCACAAGCCACCCAAACCAGCAATAAAGTAGCTGGTACAAGAAAGTACACTTAAAACATTCCGGACTGTGACTACGTGAATAAAGGGGACAGTTTCTAAATGTTTGCCTATAGATCAAATAGGGATTTTACTTATCCGTTTCCATGTGATTCTTGCGTCTGGCACACTGTCGGTGGCAATCGGGATTACTTCGAAGTACATGGGAGTGGTCTTTAGCGACTTGACTATGTGGTGAATGAGCATCAGCACTGGATGTTCTATTGAGCACTTGACCTGGACCGAATTTTCTGTTTTCCTAGAACCGCTTGCCTATTATGAAATTGACTTATCTCCTCCCCCTCCCCCTATAGAACCTCAAGCTCAATGCAACAGCTGGAAGCAAAGCAGGCGCGTGCCCGAACTCTGCGCCAGCGTCATCTTCTGGAGCGCTCAAACAGAGTTCGAGAATTGAGTAAAAAGGTAAGGAGGGGTTTGTCTGGCCGCTGTCATACCTGACGCAGCGGTTGTGGCTCTCTAAACTGAGACACTGAAAGTCTTCTACCCAGGTGTTAGATGTAGTCCCTGTCTCTGAAATAAGTTTGCTTGACATTCCTTTCCTGATAGCACTGCAGGCAAAGCCAAGACAGACTGGCATGGCCGTTTCTGACTTATAATCCGTCATCAGCCAGCCATACCCAACCACAAGTGGTGCTCCACCTGAGACTCGAACCTGCGACCTGTCGGTCAGAAGTCTAACGCTGTCTCAGCGTATTGTTTCAAATTGCAAAGTCCGAATTGCGTGCTTGGTTAGGCTATTTTTGGTGCAGTGAATGTCAATGGAGTTTGCTTTAATTTGTCTTTCTACTGCCTAGGTCGAGGAGGTTCGAATGCAAAAGCGTCTTCTGCTTCAGCAGAGACGGGCCTATCTGGAGGAGAGATTACACGTCGCAGAACTGAAACGCCGGGCGCAACTAGACCGCCGTGTTCTCAAAGCACACGATGAGGAGATCAAGGGCCGCGAGATTGCCTTCATTCAGGTAGGTGCTCCGTAACTAAAATGATATTGCCGTTCGGCGCCAGCAGCATGTTCCCTGAAGACCACCACCACCAAGCAGTCTTGGGATGCAATATAGTTATCTGCGTCATATTTTACATTTCAGAGTCTTGAGGCCGAACAAAAGCAGCATACTATATTTACGAAACACGAGATATCGCGCGCTCGCCTAGAAGAACGGGCTGAAGAGAGACGGCGTCGTTTAGAGGAGAAGGCAGAAAAGGAGGAAGCTGCCAAGGTAGGCTTTTTTGTAGGTCATTAGCATGCCCTCACGTGGCTATTTTTGCATACCTTATATTCATTACATAGACCTCAGCATTTACCAATGGGTTTGTTGAATTGAAAGCATTTTAAACAACCAGGACAAGGCAAATGGAATGACCGCATTGTGTCAAGCCCAATTGGTTAACGTCTAGTCTGCTTGACAGTCATTAGAGCATATCACGTTTCAGTTCAATTTAGTTTTATTGACGGAAAGCCAGGCGAACGCCTTTAAGTTCCGTCTTAGTGATTAAACTGTCGTCTGCGGCTACCGACATAACCTCATATTTTCGCCCTTGAACTTTAATCTGGATGCACTCATTGTCTCAATTGCGATTCCAACCAAACACTTATAATTCCCCCTGGGCCCGGCACTTTAGATAGAGAGAAGTTCCTTCCGGGAACTCGCTACCAACTATTTTGATGCGGGCGATAATAGGTCGTAATCCTTCCCTCATCTCTCACATCCCATAAAGTGGCAACCTTAGGGCGCATCTTATTTTCCGTAGTCATTTCATGTGGCGACGTAGTGCCATTAAGCGTTCCCAAATGCACGTGGAAGTTTAGAGTAATCTCTCCTTGACTAGCCACGGCTGCTTGCTTACTATCGTTCGATGGCCAATGGAATTTTAATACGAATATCCAGTGAAAAGTAAAACGTTCATATCTCGCTCTACAGCCGACTTAGACCTGTGACCAACGTTCCCAACGTGTGACCTAGCTGTTGTGTTTAAATCCTGGTCAAGTGTGGGGTGAATGAGGTGGTGCGTGATCGGGTGTGTGAGATGGAGGCCAGCGTGCTCGCTTCCATTCCTTTTGTTGCTGTTGCGTTAAAACCCCGGTCAGGTGCTTGTTGTGGACCAAGGATCGTGGTGGTGGTCGGGACTCTAACTTGGCACCGGACCTAAGTCAAGGGCGGGGTGGATGCAGCAGAGATCTACTATCACTTAAAACGAATCCACGCGCAAGTCATCAGCCCGCATCACCACGTTGTGGAGCACACAGTAGAATTACTCAAAATCGTCTGTCAAACATGCTAATTTCGTAGCACTTTATTTCAGGACTTTGTGGGCAAAATTAACATTGATGTGCATCTTAATGCACTAGCTATTATTTTGGTAAGCTTGCTCTAGGAAACGCTTTCGATGCCAATCGCCTTTTTATGCACCACCTGTTCCTCTGGTCCCCAGAATATGCTCACAGACGGATGACTGTGAATGCAAAAAAAAACATTTTTTTTCGGCGAGAAGACCTAGCCAAGTGTTGGGGAGCAAAATATTATATTTATTTATTTATTACCGGTTTACAGGTAATTTTAAAAGTTGGGTTATTTGGTAAAGCACCTCTTGCGTGCCCTCCAAAACCTCGATGACAGGAAAAAACCTAAAACAAACTTTCTTTTTTGCAGTCAGTATTGGTTTTGGTTTAGTTTTGTGATTGGTCAGTAGTGGAAAAAATTGGGAGTTTGTTTCAAGTGAAAAAAAAAACTGAATTCAAAGGTACGATACTAAAGAAAGATGTGTACAGTTACTGCCTCCCTGCCACCGACTGAAAAGAGGCAGGTTTCCCTTTTGAGCCGAAGTAACTCGCGTCGCATCCACTGTACGACATTTTTAGACAGTCAGTTTATTATACACATGACCAGTGCTGTTACTGCGAGGCACTACCGGGACAGGCACAGTTGTCACAAGTTGGAAAACCCGTTAGAAGTTACCGACTAACTGTAACTGTCTCCTACTCTGCGAACCACCTTTTTCATTCACTCTGTCTGCAAACATATACAGGCAGGTTTACCTCGTTGGACCAAAGTAACTGGCGTCGCATCCGCTGCATGACATTTTATAGACAATCCATTTATCATACATACAACCAGCACTGTTAATGTGAAGCAATACTCGGGCAGGCACAGTTATCATTAGCTAGTGGCCTACAAATATCAGGCAAGTCCGCTCCTTTAAGGTAGGGTATATCTTTTTGGGGAAGGGGGCGTTTCTGCTTCGTTAAAAGTTACGGACTATCCATAACTGTCTCCTACTCTGCAGGACCAGACTGTTCATACACGCCGTCTGCAAACATATGCTCGTTCTTTTTTTCCAGATCCGACGACGACAGCTGGAGGCTATACGACTAGCCAAGCTGGATGCCCTTCAGGCCCGTTGGGTGATTAGGGCTCAGGAGATGGAGTCGCGTGCCGAGAAGACGGAGTTAATGCGCCGAGCCGCAGCTCGCGCCAAGGAGCACAATCGGGAACTGAAGTTGTCCAACCTCGAGAACCAGCAGAGAGTACACATTGAGGAGCTACGCAGCAAGATCGAACGCAAGGTAATCCCCCGCCCCCCCTTTCCTAATTGCTGGCAGTTTTGACAAAATTTGGGGTCTGCATCAGAGGAGGCTTGTTGTATTGATCGGGCATTTGGTCACTTAGACACGAAATGAGCTCAGTGTATTTGGAGTGTCAGGCTATTTCCCCCTGACAACTCTGCCGAATTTGAGTGATAGTCATTTTTAAGAACGGGCCCCGATATCGATAAGCTGATGCATCTTCTTGCCTTTGAGTATTTTGGAGAGCTTGCTTTATCGAAGGTTTCAGAGTTATGTTACCCTCTCACCCACCCTTCTAGTGATTAAGTTGTGGTTGTGCCCAGAGCACTACAATCATCAGGTCAAAGTCTAAGTTATTAGAGAAGACAAAAGGCACCGAGCTGAGAAGTCTATTGTGCACAGAACCCTCAAGCAGCAGTGCACACTGGCAAAGCCAGGGCAAGTGTTGACTGCGTCTAATCAGGCCTGAAAGAGAGTGTAAGACAGCGTTGGCAGCGGCTTTTTTATGATAGTGGATAAAGTTCAAGTGATATACAATTGGTATGTAGTATTGCCGGTAACCGTAGCTTTAGTAGCCCCATTTCCGAAAGACACACTAAAATAACTACTATATTCGTTTCAGTAGGCGTATTTACGTCTACTAATTTCAATCGACCGTTCCCATTCATCGTCTATCCAGCCTTGCTATTACATCCCACTTATCTCGCTTATAAAGAAGCAACTGTTCCACTTGCTATTAAAAAAC